ACATTTAGGCAAAAAGTAGGCATCCCCATGGGCACAAATTGTGCTCCTCTCTTTGGTGATGGGTTTCTTGATGCATATGAATCGGAATTTCTGTTCGAACTGGCAACATCAAACAAGGGAAGACGTTTAAAGGGCAAGTTCACACGGAAATGAACCTATTTTTCTTGTACTTTTTCCACATTAAAAGTGTTAACATAGAAGTGTCATAGACAAAAATATAAAAATATCACAATTAATTAACATATTTTTCGCTTTAAAACGATTTATATTTTTCACATTTACCAAGTGTTCTATTTCCACAACAAAAACACCATGGCTTATGCCCCTTGCAATATGACGTCATTGGTGCCAATTGATAAACATTATGACGTCATCATGCTTTGTTAGAGCCGCTTCACGTGGTGTAGGTCCAGGTGTGTGATTCTAGCGTCTCAGATGCCAGCCAGCGTAGTGTTATGCTGAGTCACCACTGCGCCGGAGTGTGTCGTAGGCCATGTTGTTTTACCGCAAACTGGTACTTGACATCTTTTGCGTTGAGAATAGACAGGGACCCAGTTGGATTGGCACCAATTACGTCATAATCTAAGGGGGATAACTCAGGCCTGTTTAGCTCGAAAAACGAAGGCCTCATAACGGCATATCATTTTCACACTATTGTGAGCTTCCTACGTTCACTGTGAAAAAAATGAGTGTATATTTTCAAACACAGATACTAATTACTTCTAAAATTGCGTTTTGTTTAGAAAAAGAAAGAAAGTGATTTTTGCGTGTACACTTCCCCTTTAACTAAGCTTCAGATTAATCGATGATCTCATCTCGTTTAAAAATAGTCAAACAGCAAATTCCTTTCCACGTATTTACCCACCTAAACAAGAAATAAAAAAGTGCAGCGAAACAGCCTCTGTTTCATAGTTGCATAAATATGGAAATTGACAACAAAAAATATCCACAAGGCTGTATGACAAGATGATGCAATTCCCTATTTTAACTTGTACCACATGTTTCCATTTTGTTTTCATGTGAACAATTGACTTGCCTTTATTTGTGTTTGTGATGAGTGTCACAGGTGGGGTAGAATACAACAACCTTTTAGCGAACAGCTGATATCATCACTACTTGATTGTCATTCATAAACACATGCTTGTCGTACAGCTGATTCTCATTTTGTTTATATAAAGATTTTTTTATGATGGTGGAAATAGTTGTGTCGCTTTTATTAACACACTGAACCCATGTGGGAATTTGAACCGGTCCGTACGAACGCGTTATCCACTTGGCTACCCCACCGCACCAATTGACATTATAAATAATCCAATCTGAATTTTAAAGAGACACCACTAAGATACATTTTATTATAAACGTAATAAAATGATAATAACCATTTATCAGAACACCAAAATAACCTATTACCAAGATTTCCCTGCATCCATGACTCGCTATTTAATCCAAAGCGTCACACTAAGCTCCACCGAATTACTCATGAAAGGACATACCATGGAACATCCCACAGGCAAGCAGCAATTCTGTTCCTTGCACGAGAGAATGTATTCATCATACAAGCAACAAAAGCTACCATTGCTGAAGTCAAATTCCCAGATGATCTTGCGACAAGACTTAGCTTAGAGCGACTAAATTCACATAACTCGTCAAACTGCATAACTTATATACAGACTTTGAGGGTTGTTATTACATCTACAGTGTCTCGTTGCAACAGTACTTATCGTGGAATAAATAAAAAAGCTACATTAAAGGCTGAATACTGATTTGAAATCTCCTTTTAAAAACTGTCCCTCTTAGTTTTAAACATATAGGAACAAATACTATTGATAACATAAGAACAAACTAACGCTGAAACTAACTTTGATTCATAATTATATATAAACTCCTTACAATGTGAAGGCAAACGTAAAGATCATTAAACCAGTTTTCAAGCATAATTTATATGATTTGTTAAAAACTAAATAAGGGATTATCGATAAGGGATTTTTTAACAAACAGTAACAATAGCAGCACTTAATTACCATAAACTTTGCCAACAATAAAAATGGAACAAAATGCTCACCCTAGTTATATCAGAGGATTCCATGTGTTATTGAAGGGGCCCACGGTGAAGACAGGAACTAGGAACGAAATACCTTAGGGCTAAGAATCTAGATCTAAGCAAGAACAGCAGTAAAGCTTCCTGAAAAACTGAAGTATAATTATCGTTTTAGTTAACCCCTTTCCAGGCTAGTTTTATGGGGATATGGACATGCTGTTTTGATGTGGATATACATGTCATGAAACATTGTGAAATCATTTGTCACTTGTTGTTAATCAAAACACTTAACACCTCTCAGTATTACCCTTAAAAGTTCTATGACGTGATTAATTCTCACTTCAAAGGTTACATTTCACAACCAGGGGGTCAGATGGACTGACACAATTGTGTTATTATTCACGAGATGATCTTCAGGATATGCAGGGGTATTTATGAAAGCACTAGAGATTGATATATGAAATGATGAATAATGATAACTCCTGGCAAGAAAACGAATTTATCATATAATGGGTAGGTTTCTCGGCAGGATAAAGCCAACGGATAAAAACGATATCCGTTGGGGTCATATGCGGATAGAGATGCAAATATCAAAGGTCAAGTAGGGACTACTTTCACTGTTTATAAACAAACATGGCGTCGCCCTTGTCATTCGGCGATCGAGTCAGAATTAACCATCGGGAATCTGGATAAACTACAGGGATAATTGCTATCATTATCAAACAACAGTCTAATATACTGAAAATCTGTGTCTAACTGTGACGTAGCTAAGGCATTTTATGAGTTTTGGCAACTTTGGAGATATTAATTTCGAAACAATTTGGCGAGGGCACGAGGCCTAGCCAAGCGGGATCAGTAGCCATATCTGTGCTTGTAGATCTCTGCGGCTTGAAACCTCCTCCACAAATTAAAATAGTGGGATTTGGCCGAAATATGTTTGAATTGTTACCTTGTTTCGTTTTGTCGCTGTGTGTACATCTGACTACGCTTAATATCGTTATGACAGGACAGACCGACTGTCAACAACGTCTGACCGTGGCCGTGACGTCTCATAGACAAAGGGCAGTTACTCTAGCGGACAGACCGATGGATTGCCGCGAATGGCAATTAAAAACAATTGTTGTTTTGCGTATATGTTGCTTCGCCCCTGTATAAGAAACAGATTTCAGTTGGAACTATATTGGCTACTGTCACTGTCCGACTGACACATCACTTACCCTGTGACGTAATAAATATTAATGCGCGCATTCCAGGAAAACTCGCAATGCTTCGGTAATGGTTGTGAGAGAGGGAAAGCGATTTTGAAGCATAGAATTAAATAATGACATTATATGATAAAGAGGTTATCACGCTTGTGTGTTTGGGGATGGTAAATATCCTGTACTTGTGTTAGGAATAAACACTATGTATTTAGCTCGCCAAGACTCGCTAAATACAATGTTTATTCCTAATGCAGGATATTTACCATCACCAAACACATTCGCGTGATAACCTCTATTTATCAAAACTCATGTTAATATTAATTTAAAATGACAAACTATGATAAAGAGAAAGTTCTGTTTTCTTATTTAAATGTTATATATTTATAATATGCAAGAGTTAATAATATATATATTCCTTGTATATGATATATACGAAAAGGAAGCACATGCGGCTCCTGATCTGTTATTGCGAATCCAATTTCAAAGAAAAGGTCGAAATATTTGGCGCATTTTGTAATATACTGAAACAAAAAGGAATAATGTTATGAAAAAATATCCTCAATACCATTTTCCCCTATTGCTTTGGAATATCCAACCATGTATACAGGCTCTCAAATCACCAATACCTCTCTGGCTGTCTTTGTGTCATTTAGACTATTTGTTTTAATTTGTGCTCAGTTCCCCCACCTTGTTTATAATTTGTGGATTGTACTTAATCACGGGGTTGTTTACATTTATTTACTGAATAATAACATTTGGGTAACATTTTAATAATTTAATAGTTTTAAGAACTTAAATATTATTAGTCCATGAGCCAGACCCCCAAATTTTATAAAGTGGTACCAGATAGCCATAACATTCTTAGTCGTTGTAGTTGCTTCTTGGTTTGGACAGACACGGTGTGTTTCCACTCCACGAATTCTTGTTTGATCTCAGGATGGATCATAATGATTGATCCAGGTCTCATCACCAGTCACTAGTTTAAAATGGCTTCCGTTTGTGATTATATCTAGTTAACAAGGCATATGCTTCATGTCATCCGACAGCATCCAAGGAACCCATCGGACACAAACGTTTGACATCTGTAGATGTTCTTGTTCATACGAGAAGCCTGTGGTAACGATAACACATGGTGTGTAATCCGCCTATTGTTAACACCAAGTTGTGGATGTGATCAATGTTTTCTTTTGTGATGCTGAGGGTGGATCGACTGGATCGAGCTGGCGCCAAGTTCCAAACGCTCTTCCTTCTCTCCCACACTGACATTCCTTCACCCGTTTAACGTGAAATTGCGGCTTCCGATGGGGCAACCTCCATATGAACAGCATGCATCCGTTCATCAATATTCCTGTAGTGATTGAACTTCTAGGGTAAAAACAGCTGCTCTATATATACTCAGAGCGGAAGTAATGTTTTATCAAGTCACTTGACTGAAGAACGCTAAATTGTGAAAAATGACTTAATAAACACAGGTCGGTACTAATATATGTCACGCGTAGGCATAACAACAACCTACATTTACCAGATTCAAATCTTTCTAATATATGCTGGTATTTATTTGGTCACTGTTTTAAAACATATCATTTGTTGGTCGAAAGGAAATGCTGAACAGAACTATATTTCTTTTTTTATCACAACACAACATGTCTTCGTAACATCTAGCATCTCCAGAGATTATTTTGCTTAAATTTATATTTTCTTCTGGAACAAGTTTATTTTCAAAAAGATCAAATGAAACTTTTTTTTCTCAACTCAGTCTTTCAATTCAGCTCAGTTTTACAAACGTATCCGAAGAACATATCCAGCATCGTTTTCACGATCTGCGAACTTGGGTGATTAGCTGTAGATTCCAGAGCAACTGTCATATCCCAGAAGTCGAGGTAAACCACCCGGTTGTTGATACCAACAAACTCTTGTTTCAGAATGTTCTCATACACAGGACCCCACATCCCGAACTGAGTGGTTTGGGGCTTACCTGAAACCATATGTGGTCCTTTGATAGCAATTGTTACATCCGGAGATCGTATCAGTAATTCTTCTATCGCCTGTCTAGTTCGCTTCACTCGAGATCGATAAACATGTAAGGGAAACGATAGGAAATGCAGATATAAGTGAATGAGAATGATATCTGTACATTGCGATGGTATTTCCTCTAATTGAACAAACACTGGTGGCATTACCTCCCTGTTACATCCATCCTGAAACATGGGTATACCATGTGGTGACCAAGACACAGTATAGTTGTGTCTGATGTTGAATGCAGCAGTGTATTCATACCATTTCTGGGACATCAGTTCAACATTATTTCGAATCTCCGATGGCTTTGCTCTGAAGGCGAGATTGAGCTTTTCTTACAGTGGAGTCACCATACAGTCTCAATGTTCTATTCGCTAGGCAGTGATGGTAGCTATTTGTAGTTTTGATGTTGCTAAAACATGATAGAGGGCGCCATGTGTGTTGATAAGAAAACCCAACAGGAGGGGTGGCACGCCAGGTGTTCCGAGGGTCCTGCAGGTAACATGGCCGAGATGCAGATGCGGTATCACCTTCAACTGTAGGAATAATAAAATGACAACCATTAATAATTCTTTGTTTTAAGGTGATGCCGACATAGAATTTGAAACTGATAAACACAAGATTAATTCATCGATTCAAATAAATAAAAGCGACAAAACCCTTTCCAGACATCTCTGCAAGAAAACAGCGTCGATTATACGATTCCGACTACATCATGTGCATGTGTTTATGAATCACTATCAAATAGTGATGAGTTTGCAAAAAGGTGAGCGTATTCTGGCCCACCAGTGGCACCCGTTACAAACACATGCAAAGCAAGTCAACTGTTCACCTGAAAAGACACGGGACCATATGATAGAAGTCAAAAGATGGTATTTTATCGGAAAACATTTTTGTCACTGATGCGTCAAATTTGGAAGGTGAAAGATTATTTTGACAAGGACTGTGTGATAATTGTTTTATTTGCAAAGGCATATATAGCATGTGTACCATTCAACTGGTGTACAGATTTATTTATTTATTATATACTTCAGTGTGAAAAACTAGGCAGTGATGGTTTTCTGAGGTTGAGAAAAGAGATATTTTCACTGCAGTGAACATGACACTTGATATTTCACTGCAGTGAACATAACACTTTGACGGAACCATTTTCTTACGAGAGTTACCTCCACTTAAATTGTCTTTCTTCAGCGTAAATGTCAAGCCTGTACACGAACTATTGACGACCTTTTTACGCTCGTTCCACATTGACAAAGCAAAATAATGACAGATGGTCATTTTTGGAGTTAATATCACTTTTCGCCGTTTGTTTTTCTCTCAAAAATGTTCCGTTCTAAACTTTAAATTTCTCATTTAACTCGTCAATCAAGACTTTTCGTTTCACAAAGAGCCATTTTTGTAACTTGACCAGTATGTATTCTTTCGCTTCAAACAGCGGTCTGTAATTTTTCAAGAATATGTTTTATTTAAGTTGATTTTGTATATAATCATATCTCAATGTATGGTAAAGAATTTTCGTGACACTCGATTTTTTTATACTTTTTTTATATTTATCAAGATTTTCCAAACACGAAACTACTTTTTAAATCGCAAATACAAGGGCAGGTGAACCGTACCTTTGTAAAATGTAGGGAGAATTTACCGGTAGACAGCTAAACAAAAAGTATATAATAAATAGGATATCCCACGTGTCTCGTGAAATGTCATGTTTCTCTCATCTCATGACATTGCAAAAGGAGATAGATTCACTCGTGGCTACGCCATTCGTGAAAATATCTCCATTGCCTCCGTCACTCGACGAGAGAAACATGATATTTCACTGGAATATGAAATATTCTCTATGTTCACACATACCATGACCAATAGTTATATTGATGACATCAGGAAGGTTTTCTGAGGCCCTAGATCTGAAAAGAAGAAATGTAATTGTCAATGTATTGAGTCAAATCTTTGAAAGGCATTTAGAAGTGATATACATAAGGAAGAGAATTTATGGATGTCAACTTCTTTATTACGAGTGACACAACGTTTCAGGGCTTATACTTTCTCCTTACTCAGTTGAATAAATGCTATGAGGCAGAGAACAAAATATGTACCTGTAAGAACAAGAAAAGTAATAAGATAAGAAAGTTGGATGCTTAACAAGGGGAGCCAACAGATAATTGGCGCCGAGAGGTGTTTAGCAATGGACAAAGTGAAGTCAACAATTAACTTATCACTGATTGATAATAGGCAATGGACTATGGACAAACGCGATGCCGGGGGTAATTAGCTCTGATAGGTAATAGAATGGAAACGACAATGGACAAAATGGACAATAGACAGCTAGTTAATTAGCACCGACAAAGATCGAAGCAATACATCCATGGTCACGGTTCATGGCTGACTGGTGTCTCCTGATGTCAATGGCTTCTTGTAGTTTTCTTTGTCGCCAGTTGTTGGTGTTGGTAGGCATGAGTGAGTGAGTGAGTTGGGTTTAACGCCGCTTTTAACAGTATTCCAGTCATATCACGGCGTGTCAGCTTAATGTGGGAGGAAAGCCGAAGTGATGCAGGTCCCAGACCATTACTACTTCGGTGAAACCCACGAGCAGGGGTATGGTGCTGACAAACCTCGGAAATGGCGGATTTCAGATCTAGTTTGTTGACAGGTGTTCTTTAAGTTTGGTGTTGAGGGATGTGAGGGTTTCTCCAATGTATAACCTAAGCCTTTGACATCAGGAGACACAACCCTGCCATGAACTGTGACCAGGAATAAGTGTATACTCTGAAACGTTGTGTCCCTCATAAGAAAGAAGTTGACATCCACAAATTCTCTTCCTTGTGTATGAAAGCTTCATTCAAAATCTCACCACATGCTAAAGCCATGACGTTTAACGGTATCCAGTATTCGTTGTGATCAAAATATGTAAGTATTCGCTCTTTGAGTTTCTTTAATTAAAGCAGCTGTCGTTCCAGCTTAAACAGTTAGACCTAAATGTTCATAAACTGAGTAATAATAAGTGCATACATTTTGTATAAATGGGTCTCATCCAGAGGTAAAGAATATGTTGAGTGGACAGAATAGATGTTGAAATACATTTTCAAACACTGCACAAGATAAAATACTAAACATTCTTATATAACCGTCAAGTTTTTCTCCTTATTATTGACAGTTGTTGTATAACATTTCAACACATTACAATATTACCGTGCACAACAGCATGTTTCGTGGGCAACCAAAAACTTACTTATTTACGTTTTAAAATAACAAAGGCATCAACATTTTTAGAAAGAGTAAATACTTACTCATAAAACCATTGCTCGTTTGAGCTAAGAGTCATTTTCTTCAATCTGCAAGACACTTGTGTCCAGTCTACGCATCGCAATCCCTCTCCTTTAGGTTTGCCACAATAGAATGGAACACCATGGTACTGACTGGTGAAATTGCAAAGATTGTCTGTTTTCATATTGTTAATGTCCATGTATCCATTTGTAGTCTCAACTGCCCTAGTTGACCTAAATATACAATTAATTGACTTCCCCTGGTATCCTTTGCGTAAAATGTCATATGTAAAGTCTATTCGTTCCTTGGATGTAATAACAGCTGCCTTCATTGCTGCTCTTCCGGTCCACAAGGTGCGCAGAATACCTGTATACGTCCCGTTGTCATGATCCTTTACAATTCCGGCGGAAGCAGCGCCATTCTTCATGTCTTTCATCCAAACTACTACCATATCACCTCCACGAGATTTAGGTCTTTTCTTTTGGTCAAACAGGACGATTTTCACTTTGACAGTTTCCTCCAGCTTATACAGATGTTTGACATCAATTAATGCCATTTGACATGTTTTGAAATCTGTGCCAAGGAATACTCAAATTTAAAAATGACCCAAACATAATTATAACAATTGGCCTGTTCAAAGTGGCATATACATAGCAATAAACATACTGATATTATGTGCAAGACGTGATCATCATTTTGAATGCAATTTTCGTGATATAGACTTGAGAATAGTTAAGAACTAATGATTATTAGCCATAGCAACATCCACGTCATTCAGGATTATGTTCGACTAGATTATTACATCAATAAACACTTGTTACATATCAATTAAAAAAGTCTCTATAATCTGCCGAAAAAAGATTCCACTTGGCACTTAAGGAAAGACATTAATGAAACTTATATGAACGGATTACTGAAAATCAGTGATAACAGCAAGTACAGGCGGGAAAGGACATGTCCCACGCTACTAGTAGCAGCCATCCCTCCGGCCATTTGCACTCTCATTTCAGAAACATGGGTTGGTTTGGTTTGTTTGTTGTTTAACGCCGCACTCAGCAATATTCCAGTTATATGACGGCGGTCTGTTAATAATCGAGTCTGGACCAGACAATCCTGTAATTGATATCATGAGCATCGATCCACGCAATTGGGATCGATGGCATGCATCAACCAAGTCAGCGAGCCTGACCACCCGATCCTGTTAGTCGCATTTTACGACAAGCATTGTCACCTTTTACGGAAAGCATGGGTTGCTGAAGACCTATTCTACCCCGGAATGTTCACGGGTCCAGAGACATGGGAATTACCGAATATATTTGTGATATGCTTATTTCCGCCATGAGTGTAACCTGGAACAAATAGTAGCCCTAAAACGTCATTTGAAACGATGGTATTTTCTAAACTGCCTGTTGTACCAGCTCACCTGTAACCGCACCACCAATAGAAAGTGGTTATTGTCCCAAGAAAAGGAACAAGGAGAAACTTCTGGTTGAATGAAGCCATGGTTGCATCTAAAATAATAAACACAACCATTAATCTGTACATGAAATGTTTCTAATAAATGGAGATGATTTGGGGTTTCCTTTCTGAAACCACAACGTGTTTGGACATCCCATGAATATCACACTGAAACACATGTTAAATGTGGGCAAGTCTCCTTGGGCAAGAGACTTTTACCGAAATATGCCTCCGTTCACATATCAACGAATGGTGCCCGTTCAGATAAAAGTAAAGTGACAGTTAACTTTCCAGCAACTCTTAGGCAGCCTGGGTTGAATAGTCCCAAAGGATCGAAACCAATCTGTGCTACGCAGTGAAACACGAAGCGCAAGTATCTACTATTTGTCCTTCTAACTCTATATGAATAAATACAACTAGTAGGTAACTAGACATGCCTTACTATAATAATATTCTATGGAACTTAACGTGATTCTCTTTAATGAAGTTCACGAAACAGGCCAGAAACATATAACTTTGGATGCAGGAATGAAAAGCTATTCGAACAAGAACACTCGATGATTGTAAGTATCACGTGTCAGAATATAATTCCTGCACGTGCAGCGAATGCTACAATCTATTTGAAGTGTTTTCCGATGCATTGCGTGTTTCTATGATGTGTTAATGTACCATGAACCCAAATCAATGAAAGTTTAATACCTCTCCACAACATATCCTCTCTGGATCAAAGAAGCATGCCTATTAACTGATACCAATAGGAGGTTAAGTACAAGAAATATAGATTTACTAATGTCCTTAACCATCTGCTATCATAGCTTCACTGTGAGTGAAAATTACTTGTTCTCTGATACTGTTCGTAACATGTCTCATGAGCAAAGATTTGGCAACCTGAACTCGAACATAAGTATCCGGTCCTGGAAATATCTTAACTCTGCTGCCAACAGGTCGAGAGTTATCCAAGAAGTTTTCTTAACACCAAAGCTGTATTTTAAATGTTTTAGATAACTTGGTAACTACGAAGTTTATCACAGTTACTGAAGTCAAATTATCATTTTGGTCAATCATTTTCAGTTGAAATCAGAATTACAGTTCCGGCTCTCCAAATGCACACCTCTGCTGAGAACATCTGCGACATTCATTTGTGAGGGGATATATCTCGACTGACTAGGATTTGTATTGATTTAAGCATATTTTATTGCGGAAAATTAAATGCATTAGGCACAAGTGACACACTTCGAGGCCTTCTCCTACATACATTTTGTTACACAGAGGTTATCACGCGAGTGTGTTTGGGGATGGTAAATATCTTGCATTAGGAATAAACATTGTATTTAGCGAGCCTTGGTCAGCCAAATACATAGTGTTTATTCCTAATACAGGATATTTACCATCCCCAAACACACAAGCGTGATTACCTCTTCATCATATAATGTCATTATTTAATTCTATGCTTCAAAATCGCTTTCCCTCTCTCACAACCATTACCGAAACATTGCGAGTTTTCCTGGAATGCGCGCATTGATATTAATTACGTCACAGGGTAAGTGGTGTGTCAGTCGGACAGTGACAGTAGCCAATATAGTTCGAACTGAAATCTGTTTCTTATACAGTGACGAAGCAACATATGCGCAAAACAACAATAGTTTTTAATTGCCTTTCGCGGCAATCCATCGGTCTATCCGCTAGAGTAACTGCCCTTTGTCAAAGGGAAGCTTCTCTAACCGTAGTCTATGAGACGTCACGGTCACGGTCAGACGTTGTTGACAGTCAGTCCTGTCATAACGTTAAGAAGTGCAGTCAGATGTACACACAGCGACAAAAGGAAACAAGGTAGCAATTCAAACATATTTCGGCCAAATCCCACTATTTTAATTTGTGGAGAAGGTTTCAAGCCGCAGAGGTCTACAAGCACAGATATGGCTACTGATCCCGCTTGGCTAGGCCTCGTGCCCTCGCAAAATTGTTTCGAAATTTAAAACTCTAAAGCTGCCAAAACTTATAAAATGCCTTAGCTACGTCACAGTTAGACACTGATTTTCAGTATATTAGACTGTTGTTTGATAATGATAGCAATTATCCCTGTAGTTTATCCAGATTCCCGATGGTTAATTCTGACTCGATCGCCGAATGACGAGGGCGACGCCATGTTTGTTTATAAACAGTGAAAGTAGTCCCTACTTGACCTTTGATATTTGCATCTCTATCCGCATATGACCCCAACGGATATCGTTTTTATCCGTTGGCTTTATCCTGCCGAGAAACCTACCCATTATATGATAAATTGTAATATGTGAATTATGAATATTTACTCAACCAGTTTCACGCATGTGATTTTCAAGAGCACAGTTATACCGTTACGCTGTTTTGACGCTCTAACATAGTATGACGTCATAGTGCAATCTAACTTTGTGATGTCATTATAAGACAGGCGTAAGACGATAGGGCAGGCGTACCACACATATAATACAGAAATAAGTATTGAAGTTGCAGTAAAATGTACAATACATTGTAATTGTATAAAATAATTCAATTATTTCAGGCCATTTAATTTTGGTTTGAAAGTATTAATAAATAATTTTCTTTTATCTTTCTCAATGCATCATTGTCACATTTGTAAAATGGGAATACCACAAAATTTGGTGTTTTATTCCCGGCACACTGATCAATGTGTTGACTGAGTGGGATACACCGACAAGAGGGGTCCCTTATTTGTTGTCGATGGACCCTCACTCTCGCTCTTAGGGTGTCCCCTGCACATTGCATCGAGCACATTGTATGACATAAATCAAGTTTTTTGAAGCACAGTTCATATTTTCACGGACATAGAAAGTTTTTCCGTCTTTGAATGTAAAAGAACAACATTGTAAAACATGAGGGCAAGTACCACAATTTGGTCTGTTACACTTTTGTACTGTTTTACATTCTTGTTTTACTTTACTTTACTTTTTACTTTACTTTTACTTTTAATCTGTTATTTTGTTTTAGTTCTTTACACTTATTTAAGGGATACAGTGTTTCCCTAACACTTCCAAATATTTCCGGGTTTAGGGGATTAAAGGTTGTAACAAAAGTGAGAATACTCTCGTTAGGTTTATCTTTAGGTTTTAAAAGATCACAACGGTTTTGTGATTTAGCCTTGTTTATTGCGTCTTCCACCATTTTTCTAGGGTAGTTTCTTTCTAATAGTGACTCCCTCAGTTCATCGAGTCTATATTGTGCACGATCTGAATTTGATACTATCGCGCAGATCCTACGTGCTAATGAGTACGGAACAGACGATTAACATTTTCTGCATACACTATTGTTGTATTTAGATTATGTGTTTTTGATAGACTTCATCGAAAAAAAGTTTATACTTTGTCTGAAATTTATATTTTCAGTTGGTAAAGTTTCTTTTGGACGTCAGTTTAGATTAGAGAACAACAGTATCGCTCATTTCGTAAATAGGTTACTAAATGATCCCCCGTGCCGTACCATTTCTTGGCAAAGAGTGAGCAGTTCAGATTCAACTGTTTAGTTTTGCTAGGTTCATAAAACATGGTATTATGGCTCGTTTCGTATTTTTTAAAGATTGAATGATACATAAAGGGCCGCCCCTGCATTATATAGCCTGCTACGAATGAGATGCATCACAACTGACATGTTATGTTTTGGTAGAATAAAATCATGTCTTTTGAAATAACAGATGAGACACCGTTATGTATGTAATAGTTATCCGACATTTTTATCAAGTCACGAGCGGACCAATTTTCATTTAACTGTATAATGCACCTTGCTGCCTTTGAGAGAGTCTGTGTCTGTAGAACTGGTTTGGTCCTTGTCTATTTGGTAAACACTCGCCGGAACACAAATATTGGATATTAGCATTGTATTGTGATTTTGAGCATCCGGGTGCCTATATAACATGTAATATATTTCCGATTATAGTACTTGTTGTTCATGCATATGTTCTAGCAACAAGAAATTTGATAAATATTAGTTTTGCTTAAAATATAATTTCTACTTTGAAAAACTTCGTTGGCGCTCAGAACGCATGGCGCTGTATAATTCAGCACACGCATGGTTGGGTTCAAACCAAATTATGTTTATTTGTCATAAATTAAACCACCAGCGGCGGTACATGAGCATATATATAATGTCATACAATACAGAATAGTAGATCAAGATGGCAGTTTCCCTTTAAAGATTATGTATTTCTAAAGATTTGTACAATATATCTTGATAACTGATTTTAATCTTTGATCTTTTATGAAAATAATAGTGGAAATGGTTGAGTACATGAACTGGTTTAGTGACGTATTTTACATTAAAAATGGCGTGATTTACATCGTTAAAATATAAAAGAATCTACACAGTGATACAACTATAAATGGCTGTGATTTATTTAAGAACGAAGTCAGTAATTGGGAATTTAACTTGCGCTTTCCGACATTATGCGTATTTCGCACACAGTTAAGAACGAAGTGTAATTCATTTATTCATACCAAGTACGAATGCATCAATCCGCCCGCGTTGTATCTACTTACATGTTCAATAATGCCAAAAGACACCAACATCACAGGACTAAGAACATAGTTCGTTGAATGTTATTTCGTGAATACACATATTGCGTAACACAGAGCACAAACCCAAATGGCCTGTCCCTTTGTGACAGGTATTAATTAGAGAATGTATTGCCACCACATTATGTCCCGGCAATTTTATGACACTTAATGAACCTAGTCAGTCCATGGGTCTGTAACAACTTTATAAAATCAAAGTAACATGAATGTTACGTAATTCGTATTAAATCAAAAGTTGACTTAATAGGTTATAACATGAATATTATTGCGCTTCTGGGGATAAAAGTGAAACTTTTGTTTAGGGATGACAGTACAAAAACACACCCTTAAAAATGAACTGTATTTATGCACGACTTCACACAGATTGAAAATGTATACATATGTTTATCTAGCTACAGTTACATGCATGGCACAAAGATTAACATGAAATAATAATGTTGGTCATGTTTGTTAATTTCTACATTTCGTTGTTATTGGTATTCTGAGGATGTTGTAATTATACACGGGTTCTGATCTTCTTTGACGTAGAATACATGAACTGGTTGAGTGACTTTCTGCCATCAGCGTGAGAGAATTACCTACACATATACCCACAATCTTTTGACAAAGAGAAAGAAAGGATCATAAATCCTATAGCTATCATATCTACCTGGTACTAAAAGTTCACTATCAATCTCCTCTGATAACAAACTGTTAAATTTGATATCTCCAAGCAACAATACTCAGTATGCTCATGGAGTCATTGTCAAAATCAGAAACCCGAATGATATCCTGTCTACATGGTCACACACGGTGATTGTAAAGATCTACACTCAGACAACATGGCAGTCTGTATTCATTTCTCATATCCCAAAAGTCCCCCACCAAACGTCCTCTTATTAATTCTTACAACAACAAAAAAAGTGGGATTTTGTGAGATGTCCTACTAAGAATGGGAAATTGTACATGCTTTTAACACATTTTTATTCAGTAAATGAATCGGGATTGGTAAAAACTGCTCCAGAAACAAAATTATATTTATCAAGTAATATTGATATGTGTTGGTTTATACATGTGCATATACATACATATTGTAAAACATAACACATATATACATCAAAATAGAACAAAAACGAGTGGTCAACAAATTAGTGCGGTTGATGGACTGGTGTTCAGTTATTAAGAAAAGCTATTTAACTATAATAATTTAATACTTAATACGTAGCTTAAAATATGAATTAATTCTTAAGTTATTACTTTAGTGCAAATCCATCAGAACGTAGATATGGACTGAATTTAAAATTTCTATGTGTTTCCAATAAAGCACTGAATTAAAACTCTACCCTTTAGAATAGAAAGACGATTCGTTTCTTAAAATATTGTAGTAAGGCCATGTGAAAAAATAATGCAGTATACTTTAGCCCAAGAGCATGCATAATGCTTTATCTGAGACGTGTCTTTCAAGCCGATGGAAGTTTAAATCACTACAGCCGAGTCCGAGGCGATTAAGGATATGTGACAAAATCTGGTATCATGGTTTAACTGGATATTAGTAACATTGTCCAAGTTTAATAATCCACTATATCAGATGACTATTCCAAGTATTAATAGTATCAGGAAAGAATGATTTGGCATAGAACTCTGTTCTACAACTGGTAGCCTGTAATTTGGTTCGATTTCTTTAAATGTAATCACTAACAGAAGAGATGTTTTCCATCTTGTAAAATAGTGTTTCCTTTTGGCTATGTTAGTTTCTCAATAAAGTTCCTCATGGCTTGTACCCCTTGTCCCCCCACAAATAGTCCGTAATGCAGTGTAAACTTTCTCGGATTGGTTCTTGTTCTTTGGTACAATTATCCCAAATATGGGAGCAAAGATATGGGCAATAAGCTTGTAATAACTTCTAATGATTTATGTGAAAGGAATATTTATCTGAGTGAGTGAGTATGGTTCACGACAGGGGACACCATAAAGGTATTTTAAGACTTCTAAGGCAACTAATCACAGGGCATACCTTTTTAACTAATCGACCATATCAGAATGCTATTTACAATCTGACTGAAACATTTAACCAAAGGTCATTGATAAAAAATCTTTTCATTTTACGGTTAGGTATTGCATTTAGATTGACGTTAACGTGAAATCGATTAGTTTCTGTTTTCTTTGGATTATACTTTACTTGCTTTCATCCATTTGGCAATTTTCTCCAAATCGGCATTAATATTTTACGCAGTAGTAGTTGGAATTGTCCACTTAGGGAATTGCCTGGACCCCGCCGCAAACACAGTAAACAGACATTCCAAGGTGAATAATATATACAATTGTTTCTTGGCTCGACATGCTAGGGTCCATAATGTTACTTATAATGTAAAACTAATAGTAATATTAAATTATATTAAAACATTTTTATACATTTATGTATTTAACATGAGAGAGGTAGCGACACACATATATTAACATGCTGTATTGTATAATAATGATCGTACAATTCTGAATGCTTTAAACCTGTTGCATTAAACAAATTTTGGATAAGATGTCACATTGTGAATCAATTTATTCGATATTCACTTAATGGCTTTGTTGTGTACAAGACTTGTAAGTCATTTTTTTTATTTCTTCCAAATGTTCTATTGCGAACACATACGGAGTCAGCGCTCATGATTGCCATATCTATTGCACGAATGAATGAAAATATCATCATTAATAAACTTACCTGAGCTCACTGTGTGTTCTGAAGTAAAATCGATGTAAGGCACCCTGCACGGCTTCGTTCACGTTCACCCTCAAATGTACGATAGAAAAATCAGCGATTCTGTGTGTTCTATGTTCAACTACATTTTTGTGACAGGCGTTCGTTTATTTAATGAAATTCCACAAATTCATAAATCACATTGAGTTCCTCGCCTCTTCTCGAGCTGCTCACACTCTCCACTGATGCTGGCTGCCTTAGCTAACTGGAGTCCGCATATAACTATTTACAAACTCTGTTCTAATTATGCTAATCGAGGAAGTGCATTATACCAGATGACAAACTTAGTTATCCTGTCACACTAATCCTTGTTTAAAATGAACATATGTCAATTGACTAAACGAACATCCTTTTTCTATATACTTACGTAGGAGTATCACATTGGACAGTGCATACAACTGTTTGTCAAAACTATATCAAGCAACATTTTAGATTGAGAATCACCATACCATGACATAACAGAAACATATATATTAAATTGTATATATATTCATATTTGCCGATATTCATGATATATTTATTTTACCGTCATTGTTTGAAACTACTCTGAACGATTTGTATGTATAGATCTTCTTATTTGTAAACAGATAGCGCACTTATCATATATATTATTGATATAACTGTCTGCTCAAGTGTTCTATTTCTTTATTACGTAAAATGCTGTGAACAGCTGTCATAATGCCAATAGTATACACTTGTCACATACAATAATACTGTCCGGTATTCTTAGTAATATTGTCAATAGCAACCACATATTGTGAGCATTAATGTCTGCAGTGAAAGAAACTGAATGAAGCAGAGATAAAATCAATCCATTTATACAAAATTGTATATTTTTTGAAATACCAAATATACAAAATTGTATATTTTTGGATATACCATATATACAAAATTGTATATTTTGTATATATTGGAATTTCGCCTTGTGTATTATCAGCACCCGTGGCTGTATCATGAGCTTGCCCCAGGGCGGTATGCAGCTCATGGATGGAGAACATTTCACTATAATCCTCACCATTATCAGAATTAAAATTAATTGTCTTTTTTTCTTGTTGGTCTTTACATTTTTGAAATTTTGGTGTATAATTGGATGAGGAAGAATGATTAGCTAAAGTTTCTCCTGGCTTGTTTGCTATGTCACATTTATCGGTAAATAGTCTATCACCCTCCTTAAGATGATGAACACCAGATTTTGTTCCTTTACCCTTTATCCTTTGCACCATATTCCAAACCTTAGATATTGATGTACGGGAATTTATTTTCCAGACGTAGCTTTGCTATGATTGGCGTTAATCTTATTTAAATGCTCGACGAGCTTTAGCATTTAACATTTTAAATTTATTTAAATTGTGGACAGAAGGGTGCGTCGAAAATATTTCTCTGCTTTTTTTCCTCGCTTTTCTAGGTTGTTTACATTCAGTGTTAAACCTAGTTTACGTATATGTGGAATTGTTGAGGATTTAGGTATATATTCGTCAGCAATTCTATTTAAAACGTCAGAAAACTCCTTAATAGGATCAGTAACATCAGTGAAACATTCAGGTTTTATTTTATTTAAGCAGTGTTTGAAACAAAGACCAGTTTGCCTTTGTAAAATTCCATCTTGTAGGAGGTGGAACATCAGTCGGATTAACAGTTGATAAGATAGTTGGGAAATGGTCACTTCCACAAAGATCATTGTGGACGGACCAATCGAAATCGTTAAGTAGATTAGAGTCAGTAAAGGACAAATCCAAAGAAGAGTAAGTCCCGGTTGCGGGATGCAGATAAGTGTGTGTAACATCATTAAAGATACATTGATCATTATAAAATCCTCAAGTTCTTTACCTTTAGTACTAGTGTTTGTACCACCCCAAAGAGGATCGTGGCCGTTTAAATCACTCATGATTAAACATGGCTTAGGTAGCTGATCGTAAAGATCTGTCTGCTTTAAATATGTTTCTTGTAAGCAGAATGCTGACGGATTAAGATCTTGGACTAATAGATGTAATTCATTAAAATTAGTCTTTAATCCTCTACAATTCCACTATTTGTTGGAGAAACTTTTAGGGGGATCTTTTAGGGGGATTGACTGGGGACCTACGTACCCCTCACCTTCTTTGAGGGCGACAAGCTATGTGCCCTGTGATGGCTCACGTCGGACACATCCATGTCCTCAAGGGATCCAAACTTATTAAATAGCTAGATCTTGTTTCCTGTCCCATTTGAGGCTCTGCCACAATGATACTTGTTAGATTGTTCGGTTTTGGGTTTGGATTTGGTTTTTGAAATTTGTTTGACGGTTGTTTCTGAATGTTCAGAAACTTGTTTTGATGTCTGGTCCTGAGTAAGAGCTGCATCCTTATCATATGATGTCGTGGATTCGATGAATACCTGTGACGTTTGACAGCTAGAGTCCTCCTGTAATTGTCTCACCTGAATTGCTGTAGATAATAACGTTGGACCAGAGGTTTTAGCCCACGTGTAATCAGTCTGGCAGGCTATGGATTTACATGATACATGTTTAGGCTTGGAAACCTGAAGAGAAGCAGAAACAGCAGTAGAATATGTCAGACCTGCTTGTTCCTGAGCTAGAACAAACTTTTTTGCATAAATAAAGATAGGTTTCGTATATGTTTGATCTTTGATATTTTGAACTGTAGTTTATAAGTAGGGCATTCTTTTGAAGAAGAGGGGTTGTTACCTGAACAGTTCACACAGCGAGGTGGTTTGTCACAGAGATTACTGTCTTCACATGCTCCAGCACATCGATGACATGCGGCTGATTCATGGCAAGATTTCGAGCCATGGCCATACTTTTGGCAAGTGTAGCACCTCAAGGGGTTAGAGATAAAAGTATCCACCCTTAAGTTACAATAACCAGCTTTGAGAGAGTCTGGACGCATTGGAAGACAAAAAGTAAACATATATGTGTTTGTTTTTGTGATTTCGTTATTTCTTTTTGCTGTAAAACGTTTTACAGCTATAACTCTGTGACAATTTCGGTTTCAGTCATATCGCAAAAGCATCGTCCGATATCACGGACGATTCCTTTACTACAATTCAATGTCCTGTGAGGGGTAACCTGAACGGGAACAGTAGCTAGTGATTTGGTGGAAAGGAGAATTTGTGACTGGATTTGTTTTTTGCAATGGATAAGTAGCGAGCCAGATCGTAATTTTTTTACTTCCTTTACTTCACCAACTAAACCTTCAATACCCTTTGATATAGCAAATGGGTTCAGTTTTAGTGGATCTCCATTTGGCGCAGACATTACGAGAAAACGAGACCAAGCATCAGGATTGCTGAGAGGGTGAGGAGAATCTTCATCTCCAGAATCATCAGATTCGTGAGAGCGTTTTTTGAGTGGGGGTGCCATGGTAGTATTAAATGTGATTCGCCCCCATTGCTCCCCACCAACCATAGAGTGTCTACGTGGACGATGCCACACGTCTGTGGATCTCCAACAGATGGCACCAAGGATACCAGGAGGGTATACTCAAGCAGAAGTAGTAATCAAAGATTAATAAATCCACCGGATTGGCCCATGAGCCACCGCCTTCTGGCACTGGCATCTCGGCAATTTTTTAATATATCAAGTAGTACAAAAATCAATATTCCTATATATTCATATATAACATTTCAGTCATAAACTGAAACAATTCCATTATAGTTATAAATTTCCAAGCCAAATAATTAGAGCAGTGAGCAAAATGTAAGGTGCTCAGGGCTTGGCATGACCAGCCGATTGATAAGACCGGGCCCATCTTACCACCCGTCCAGGCGAAGTAAGGGTCGAAGTGGTGTGTTGGGCAAAGGAACGCTATTCCTGGATCCAGTGCCCTCAACCACCAGACTCCCGTCCTCCGCCGACACAGGGGCGCAACCCACGACAGGTTGCCCAATTCGGTCGCCTTTTACGACCAGCATTGGGGTGCTGTGGAAATATTCTGCCCCGGTTCCACACGGGGGAAGAGCTATTAGCATTACCCAGCACTCACCACGGGGAGGTTGCTCTTCACGAGTGCCTCGATGTTCGATGTTCGACATGGGTACAATGTTTGAAGTCCATTTCAGTGATATTGTTGGAATATTGCTATAGTGAGTAAGTGAGTTTGGTTTAACACCGATTTTAACAGTATTACAGTTATATCGCGGTATGTCAGCTTAATGTTGGAGGAAAGCCCGAAGTGATGTAGGTCTCAGACGTTTACCATTTTGGTGAAACCCACGAGCACGGGTATGGTGCTAACAAACCTAGAAACATAATCGGGGCGAACTTGGATTCAAACCCACAATCATAGGCTTCTGGTGCGCCCAAGGGACGCAACTCTGCACAGCGAATCGCGGCGCCTTAGACGACTGGGCCACCCCATCCCCCGAATATTGCTAAAAGCGGTGTAAAACCAAATTCACTCACTCATTCACATAATTAGGCCACAGGCCAGTATTACAGATATTGTTAAAAAGTAAAATGCATCCCAAAACCTAAAAATATAATGTTTCAAGATTTACAATGGCGATTACTGTCGTGATAGCTTCGAGTGAGTGAGTATTGATTTATAGTCACATCAGCAGTCTTCCATCGATATCGTGACTACAACAATATAGACATCAATACAAATTTTTTTTTGAATTTCTAAAACCACTGTCGTAAAATAACTAGAGTGGCACAGCTTATTTAAAATAGTATTGAAACATAAAACGATATCACTATACATAACAAAACATGATAAAAACGAGCTAGCAACCAAAGTTAGGCAACCATACCAGGGACTGTGGGGACCCAAGCAGGATTTACACCGTCCATTCAGCTGCCGGCGATTATAGCTAATCTAAGCAATCATTGGAAACTAACAAATATACTACGATTGTGTATAGTTACATGTCTATCTTCAAAGGTCCAGGACAATTTGTCAAACATGAAAACAAATATCTGAATTTGTCAATGTGATATTTGTGGACAGGACGTTTAGGCAAAAAGTAGGCATCCCCATGGGCACCAGTTGTGCTCCCCTCCTTGCTGGTCGGTTTCTTAATGCATATGAATCGGAATTTCTGCTCAAACTGGCAACATCAAACAAGGGAAGACGTTTAACTAAGCTTCAGGTGAATCGATAATCTCACCTAGTTCAATAATAGTCAAAAACAGCAAATTCCTAACAAGAAATAAAAAAGTCTAAGGAAACAGCCTCCCCTTTTTCATATTTGCATAAATATTCAGATTGACCAAACAAATATCCACAAGGCTGTATGACAAAAGGGATGACTTCAGCTTTCCAATTGTCAACTTTCCCTTTATTGTTTTATGGATTAGTCCCGCAGCTCAATTTGTTGCCTATATTCCACACTTTTAACATACAAAAGTTGTTTGATCAGGGTAACATTGATGGCCTTAGTAAAGTTTTCAAAAC